TGGATGTGGTGGTCGTCGCAAAATGTCAGGAACCTTTTGTCGGTGAACTGCGTCCCGTTGTCGGTGATGATGGTGTTGGGGACCCCAAACCTGTGGATGATGTCAGTGAAGAATAGCACCGCCTGCTCGGATTTGATTCGATTGATCGGACGAGCCTCGATCCATTTGGAGAACTTGTCGATTGATACCAATAGATGGGTGAAGCCCCCGGGGGCCTTTTGCAGAGGCCCGACCATGTCGAGCCCCCACACGGCGAACGGCCATGTGATGGGGATGGTTTGCAGGGCCAGGGCCGGGAGATGTGTCTGCCGAGCGTAGTACTGGCATCCTTCGCAGGAGCGCACTAGTTTGGTAGCGTCGGCGACCGCCGTCGGCCAGTAGAAACCTTGGCGGAAAGCGCGTTCCGAAGCGTCCGAGGCGCCGCATGGTGCTGCGCAGCGCCACGTGTAAGTCCCAAAGCGTGGCTCGGCCCGCTTCGGAGCTAATACACCGTTGGAGGACACCTGAGGGACTTCGCCTGTACAACTCGCCGTTGTAGTGGGCGTAGGTCTTGGCTTGCCGCGCAAGCCGCCATGCTTCGGTTTTGTCGTTAGGAAGCTCCCCCCGATCGAGCCAATCGAGGAACGGGACTCGCCAATCCACGTCCTGATCGGTCCGTGGAAGCTCGGCGTTGACTTCCATGACCTCGGGCTTGGTCGAGGGGGTCTCGGCAGCATAGAGGGCGTCGAGCTCCGCCGCGGGTCCCACAGGTGGGCCCTCCTATGTTGCCGAGGTGTATCCAATGGAAGGTTTGTGGAGATCTCTGGCGAAGACGTTCGGGGGGACCGGGACCTGTGCTGAGGCCATCTTTGCCAGCTCGTCGGCGGCTTCGTTGTACTTCCACGCGACGTGATTTAGCTCGAGACCGTCGAACTTGTCTTCTAGGCGTCGTACCAGCCGCCCCTCCGCGGTAGAAGGCTCGGGCATTGCGCGAACCAGCATCGCCGCAGCCGCGACGTTCTGGCTAGCGCGATTGAAGATCGGGGGTTGCTCGCTCCCTTCGTCGTTATGGATGCGGTGATGCATGTCGAGGGCCCTCCGTCGGGCTCCCCGCCGCCGCGACCTCCTGCTGTTCTGCTCGAGAGTCTCAAGCTGCTGCTGCAGAAGAGTTGGTCTTGCTCGACCTTGGCACGGAGCTCACGGAGCTGTTCTAGGTCAAGCGCCGAGGTCGCGAAGAGCGACGTTCTCATTTCGTCATGACGCCAGCAGGACGGCGCGTGGAGGTGTGGACGCCGCCGCCGGGCGGAAGCGGGAACGGCTACCTGCCCCTCGTCCTCTTCGCCCGCTCTCGGCATCCCGACCCGACATGAAAACATTCGCGAGTGGGGTCGTGAGGTGCCTTCGTCGTCGTCGAGTCGGGGTAGCCGGCGATGGTCGCTCATGAGCCAAGAATCGGCGCAAAGCCCTGTGGCTGTGGAGTCCGGAAAAATCCACCCCGGGCCATGCCTCGTCCTCGTCCCGAGAAGTCGGAGTGGGTGCTCAGTCGAGAGCGGCGGCCGGGCGGCGTTCCGAGGGGTGCTCGTGAGCGACAAGTAAGCGTAGGCGTCTGGCGGGCGGCATTTCTCAACCCAAAAAGGGTATGGGGACGGTGCTGCCTCTCCAGTTCTCCCGCACGAATCGGCTCTTCAGGAGTGGTGGAGCGGAGCTTGACGACTGGGCATCGCCCGCGTGCCACGAGCAAGTTTCCTTTGTCCAAGCTTCGGCTAGACAGGTCCCGACCAGGGTCCCCATGTGCCAACAACCGGTCGTAGGATATCGGCGGGGTGGCGCGTTGTCCCGGATTCGCGTAGCGTCGGGGTAGCCTTGTTCGTGCTTGTGCTTGGCGAGTGCGGCGAGAATGGCCGCCCGGACGCCGCCCGCGCCTGGGCTGCCGGGGCGTAACTTCATCGTTGGTTGGTGGGGCTCGAGGAGGGAGGAGCACCAAGTCGTACTCATGTCCTAGAGACATGAACTCTAGGCTCCCGAACCAAACCACGGTGCCGAGACGCAATGGTCGTACGTGGTCTGCCATCCGGAACTTCTTTGGGATGATGAAAAACCACACGCAGCGCCCCGGCAGCGCTAATCGTCGGTGTTTCGGACCGGGGGGTCCTCAACCAACCAGTGAATTTGTTCTGCGTGCTCCCAATTCCGGGTGGTGATGCAAAGAGACACAAGGTTTATACTGGTTCAGGCAATCGAGGCCCTACGTCCAGTCTGAGAGATCGATCTTGTATTCCTTGCACCGAGGTGCTCGTAGTAGGGGGTTACAAGCTAAAGGAGAGAAGGAACTGGTCCTAAGTCTCGGCGGGGTGTCGTGCGGTCCGCTTGAGACGTTGCTCTCAGGCGGCCGGAGTGTGCGTGCGTCTTCCTCCCCCTCCAAAACAACCCAGGCCCTCTCCTTTTATAGCATGAAGGGAGGACTTGGGCGGTACATGAGCTGACTATACGGCGTCGTGTGAATAGAGGCGGCGTGTCCGGGCCCTGTAGCCTGTTCCTGTGGCGGCGTGGCCGTCAGAGTGGTCCATCCTTGAGTACGGGGCGGCGTGGTCATCCCATCGAATTCTCGTGCGTCGTGGGAGCCCCGGGAATGCCTCGAGTGGATCTTGGCGGCGACGTGCAAGCCACTGTGGACGGACTGTGCGTGATGCCGAGGCTTGGTCGATGTCGAGGCTGGCACTGTGGTGGGGGGGTCTCGGCAGGCATGTACCGCAAGATCGCCGAGGCCCCGGTGTACAGTGCCGAGGCCTTGAGCGGGCGGCCGATCATGGATACAGCGTTTAGACACAGGGGTCGGTAATCCCCGTCGTACCCTTTCCCAACCGGTATGGTGCTGATCGTGGACATAGTGGTAGGGCACAGTGGTCGGTAATCTCCGTCGCGTCCTTTTCCGTACCGGTATGGTCTTGATCGTGGACCGCGATGGTAGGGCACGATGGTCCGTCCCGGCCGGTATGGATACCGATGCGACCTCGGTCGCGTCGGCCATCCTGTGGCGTTGAGCCACCGTCCGCTGAGATTATGGGAGTGGTTGAAGCATTAATGAGACATGACGAGTTGGTGGGAGGGTTTCGGCCGAGGCGGGGCGACGGACCGTGGGACGAGCCGGCCTCACGCGACGACGGAGAATGAGGCCTCGCGATAAGAAGAATGAGGCCTCACATGATCTGGAGAGTGAGGCCTCTGCCGATGCCTTCCCTGGATAGCCTCGGGCGAGACGGAGACGGCGTCCCCTGCCGAGGCTCGGCGCCCCCTGCCGAGGCCTATCCTGGGGAGCCTCGTGCGAGGCGGAGTTCGTTCCGAGACCTCCTGCTCGAGGCCCGAGGCGAGGTGGAGGAGGGCTCGGTCGTGGCAGGTGAGGGGCCCACGGCTTACCTTCTAGCCTTGTTTTGATGTTTGCTTGGGGTACCCCGTTCTAAGGTACCCGACAGAGCTATTCCATAAGTTGGTGAGTTTTAATTTTTCTTATTGTGTGGTACTGAACTTCCATCAGGATATTGTTCTTTGTTGAGGCTGGAAAAAACAGAGTTTTGGCAGTGCAGAGTTTTCGCGGCGACCAGGGTGCACGGCCTGGACTTCGGCTCTCTATGTGCCAGTGGCCTGCGACGCCAGCACGGGTTGAATGGAGCCCGACGGAGGTGCAGACGAGGACCTAGACATTAGAAGAGGTGGTGCATCTGCAGTACAAGCAGATTGGCTTAAAGGGTGAGTTGCAATTAGAGCCATTTCCTTTCAGACTATTGAGTCTATTGGCGCCTGAGCTGTCATCAACAATAGTAGCATCATTTTACCATGATCCAGTGGATCCAGCTTGCTTGTGTTATCAGTGTTGTCTGTTTTGTGCATATGCAAAACATTCGTAGTGATTGATTTGAGACATTTTTTGGCTTCAAAATCGTATTGGTGCTGGATCTGGTAAAACATTAAGTCATTTGCAGCAGCAGCGTAGACAGACAGATAGACATACTATTGGCATCATATGTATCGTTGATGCTGTGGTAGCAACATGCATCTTTCTATCTATTTATATATTATAATATATATCTATTAGTTCTATACAGTATATCTCTCTAAGTTTAATTAAAATGAATGCCCCATTACATGCATTTTTATTGGTCCAAAAAAGGCTCAAATCAACCTGAACCATCTACGGAGCTTACAAGTGGTGGCAGCACCAACATCTAAAACTATGAAGGCCAAAGCTAAGACAAAGACAAAGCGGAAGAATATAGCTAAAGATATTGCCATAAAGCCACTGATACTTGATAGCCCTGCGATGGGCACAAGAAGCAAAATATGTAATCCTGCTAGCCCTACAATGAGCACAAGAAGTAAAAGGAGGCTCAATTTGTGACTTTCATGTGCCTGCAATGTTGCTTTTTATATAAACTTGATGTATGCGTCAAACGATGTGTCGAACTAGTGCACTGTGAAACTGATGTGTGAAAATGATGTATGTGTCGAACACTATGTTGAACTATGTGCTCTGTGCCTTTTTTGAATTTTTAGGATGATGAACTTATTTAAATTGTGTGCTATAATCAAGTTGACATCATTTTTTTACTACAATGTTGGTGGTCTGGATGTTGCATTTCTATCAAAAAGTGTTTAAAATTTTGTGTTATGAAAATTGGATTCAAAGTGCTCAAAATTATGTTGTTATGCTGCTTATGTGACCTTTGGTTTCTCGTAATGTCTTATGGGCAGTTTGGTTATTTCATGTGCCACTTAACGGTGTTAGAGGCAAGAGATGACGGTAAGGTCAGATTAGAAAACGAAACTTTAAGTGAGACTAAATAGGTAACAAATTTTATTTTAGGGCCAAGAAGAAAGACAACTTTAAACTACGGCTAAATAAGAAATTGTAGCCTTTCAGGGACGAGGCCCCTGGCCCAGCGTCAGCGATGCGCCAACCATCGCCCTTATTATTGTACAGGTCTGAGCCTGACGGAAACAACACGGAAAACGGCTACAGACAAAATTCATTTGTAGCGCTGCAAATACTCGACGAGATCATCAACGTACTGCTCCTGCCTCGCCCTATCCCCGACAACCTTCTGCAGCTCCCTGGCATTGCGCGCGAGCTCCCGACCCTCCTCCTCCGCCATCACCCGCCGCACCGCCGCCGCGACGTCGTCCCCGCGGAACGACCCGTCGTGCTCGTCCCTGGGCACCTCGACGCCGACGCCGTGCGCCGCCATGGCGCGGGCGATGACGCCCTGGTCGGCGACGAACGGCAGCATCACCAGCGGGAGGCCGAACCGGAAGAGGCTCTCCACGGTGGAGCCCCAGCCGCAGTGCGTGAGGAACGCGCCCACGGCGGCGTGCGCCAGCACGCGCACCTGCGGCACCCAGCCGGCTCGCGCCACCCCGCCCCCCGCCACGCGGGCCTCGAACCCGTCCGGGAGCAGCGGCAGCGCGCCGCCGGAGGGGTGGCCGGCGGGGCGCCGGACCGCCCAGAGGAACCGCGCGCCGGAGCGCTCCAGCCCGAGCGCCAGCTCCCGCACGTGGCCCGCCGTCTCCGGCGCCTCGCTCCCGAGCGCCACGTAGATGACCGACCGCGGAGGCTGCTCGTCCAGCCACCGCATGACGTCCGAGAACGACTGGTCGTCGCCGTCGCCGCCTCCGCCCGGGGTGGCGTCGTCGTCGTCGTCGTCGGCCACCTCGTCGGGCAGGAGGAGGCCGGAGGGGACGACGGGCTTGGCGAGGAGGTCCGTCAGCAGCGGGAACAGCCGCGGCTCCGCCACGGGGCTGCTCCTGCTGCGGACGACGATGAGGCGGCAGCACGGGCGCTGCATCTCGTAGAAGCGGTCCCTGTCCGACACGCCCGAGGCATTCTGCCGGAACACGGCGGCGATCGCCTCGGCCTCGTGCCGCCGGTGCGCCATCGTGGTGGGGAACGGGATCCACGGTGGCTGCACCATGTAGTCCTCCGTCGTCGTCCGTGGGTGCGCCTCGTTCTCGTGCCGCGGGACCAGGAAAGCCAAGAGATAGACGCCGGCAGGATGAGGAAGATGGCGCACGCGATCTTACAGTAAAAAAAAGCAAGAAACAATTAGCCTTTTGATCAGCAAATAATTTTTGGAAGTAAATTTTAACGGTTTAGCTTTGATCAGAATCACCCTATCGAATACTCGTTCCGTCCAGAAAAGAATGCAATTATAAAAAAAATGTCAGTCAAAGTTGTCCAACTTTGACCAAATTTACAGTTCCTCTGAGGGCAGTCCCAATGATAAAATTCTATATTCTATGATATCGTGACAAGAAACCATTCTTTCTAATGCAACTATTCTATCTAGTGTGTAGACAAAAATCTGCCCAATCTTTTACTCCCTCCGTGTGAGAAAGAAAGTTTTTATATGATACGTGTAGGTTAAACTTTTTTAACTTTGACTAGGTTCATAAAAAAATATGTGTAATATTTATATCTTTAAATAAGTTTACTATGGAAATATATTCAACGAACTATCTAGTTATGCTAATTATATATTATAAATATTAATATTTTTTATATATAATTGATTAAAGTTAAAATAGATTGATTTCTCGAAAAGCGACGACGACTTTTATTTTGGGTCTGAGAGAGTATCGTGTGCTTCACTCCCATCTTTGATGCTCTGTGCATTTTATATATATTTTGTTCGGTCCTCTGTTCCTGGATTTCATTGCTTGGAACTGGATTTCTCCTCTTCGTTTGCATCTGGAAAAAGGAATGGCTGAAGCAAGCAACGGGATGAGAAGATCGTATCGAATCGGGCTGCTATGCCTGCGCTTGCTTGTCTTTGTTGTCCACGGGGCGTGGCCAGCAGCAAGCAGGCGGCCGGCAAGCGGGCGTCCGTGCGCGATATCGCGGGCGGCGGTGCCACGCGGGCCACGCCAGAGTTACGCGGCCGGCGGCGCCGGGCGGCCACGCCCAAGCTTAGCAGGTGGTGGCCTTGGGCGACGACGCTGCGAAGTCTGCCGGCGCCAAAGCCGAAGCCAACGACCTCCCTGTCCGTCGCGTCCATGGCCGGCGCAGCAAGGATGAGCTTTGCGTCGGAGTTCTCCAGGCTCAGCGAGCCAACGCAGGGGCATGGCCCTGCAAACATACAGCGGCGGCGTCCGAGGGGATGGGCTCCCACGACGAGGCTGGCTTGCGCGCGCGGCCGCGGCGTCGCCGTCGCTCCCGTGCGGCCGGCCCGCTCCTCCGCGGCACAGCCTAGGCCTCGCTCGCACCGGATCCGGAAGGAAGAGGATGGAAACGAGTAGAGTCCTCCCAACGTTGTTTTGCCGGTTTCTTCACGCCTTGAACCGCGCGAGGACGACGAGTCGTGAGGAAGAAACGATTTCTTTGTTTTGCAATCTCTCTCTTTATTAATTCTAGTGCCGTCTCAGCGATTTGCTTGGCTATCAACCTAATTAATATAGATGGAAACCACAGTAAATATCTCATTGGGACTGTCCTAGAGAATGCAACTATAGTATACATATCAGTTACAATATTTTATATTTGACCAGATTTCTAGTAGATAGTATTTATATTTATGGCTTCTAATCAATTTATTATGAAAATACATTTCCTAATTAATTTAATAGTGTTTATTTGATACAACAACAACAAAGCACGTCTGTCTCAAATAAGTTGGGGATAGGCTATAACGGTGTTTATTTGATATTATAAATATTTATACTTTTTTAATCTATAATTAATCAAATTTGTTATAATAAAACATGACATTGTTCTAGGATTTTATTCTTTTAGAGACGGATGGAGTAAACAGTATTAGCATATATGTCTCAAAATAAATTTATTATAAAAATATATTCTATAATTAATATAATGATATTTATTTAGTTTCATAAGTGTTAGTATATTTTTATATTATTTTAGTTAAAATTCAAACTGTTTGACTTCTCCAAATATGTATTCATTAGTAGAGGGAGAGGGTATACAGGAGTAAACAAGTCTCACAAAACCGAGATGTTCTTGTCGGAACGTATCACATCACATGTGGCTAGCAACAGCCAACTAGTGGGGCATGATGTACTGTACCTCGTGTTCCTCGGCGATTGGCCAGATCCAGTTCTGCGCGAAGTCGAGGACGATAAAGTCGGGCTTCCTCGAGAACCCAACCCCAACAGCGTCGCCACTGCCGCCCGCGGCGTCGGCGTCGGCGTCGGCGCAGGCCAGCGCGGCGACGAGGTCGGCGAACGGCGCGGCGAGGCCGTCGAAGGCCTTCTTGAGCAGGCCGACCTTCTCGGGCCGGACGTCGGCGGTGGACTCGGCGCCGTCCGGGAGGCCCTCGACGTCCGGGAGGCCCAGCGCGACGACGCGGAGGCGCGCGGACAGCTCCGGCGGGACGGCGCCCAGCCTGACGGCATTCCTCGGCGTGGACACGAAGGTGACGGCGTGGCCGCGCCGCGCGAGGCGCTTGGAGAGCTTGAGGAACGGGATCATGTGGCCGAACGCCAGCCATGGGAACACCACGACGTGGAGATGATGAGGAGGAGACGCGCCGCCTTCTTATAACTGCGTGGACCATGCGTTTCATTTATTTAACCTGACTCGACCACTGATCATTGATTTGATAATATTACGTATAATAATAGATATAATCATGTAATGTTCACGCTGGGTAGCGTCGTAGTTTTTTTTTCTCTTGAATACGCAACAGCATTATGTATCATTATATTAAGAAGGTAGAAGTTTAAAATTCAATAGAGACCGTTTTCAGTCCAACGATAGTCGACGTGTCTGCATCTTGTTCCATTATCTTCTACTACTAAAATGTTTTAATTTGGATCCATCTTTATCTCACTTTTGGGGCCGAGGTTTAACCTCGAGAGTCGACGAGACTCGAGTGGTAGAGTAACATCTGATTTTTACCGAGAAGCTATCTCACTCGAGGAAGCTGGATCTTAGTCGGAAAAAAGAAAAAAAGAAAAAAAAAAGAGGAAGCTGGATCTTGTTGGCATGCCATCCAAACTACATTCAAGGAAGAGCCTGGATTGGTTTCCATCAAAGTCAAGCCGAAGATAAGAGATCCTCTTACTCAGTGGCGAGAGAATTTTATGTTATGATCAGCTCTTTCTTTGTCAGCAAAAGCGGGAAAAAAAACTGGGTGGATATAGTATCCACCGAGACTCCGTGCATACTGCCGCTCAACAGGTGACACATGTGCGTGCGTTTCAAAGACTCCTCCGCTCGGCTTGAGTCATGATGCCGGCGCTCGGCTCGTGGTCCATCGGCTCAGGAGTCCCTCGGCTTGATCCCACAGCACAGCAATGATCATTGTCCTTGTAGGTTGGAGAAGCGCCGCAATTACAGGAGTCTTGTAACACCCCAGGGTGCTACTAAACAACACAAACACTAGCTGGACATACTAAATAAAAAAAAACGGCAGCACCTCCTTTGTAAATATAAGCAACACGGAGGTGAGAACAAAGATAAGACACATATAGACCACACTAGCATAAAATAAACATCCACAAAAAGTAATTATCACAACTACGTTATTAAGTTTATGGAATAGTCTCTAAATGAAGGTGTGTGAAACGTGCAGCTAGCTCCCTTACCATCCGAGCAACTATCAAGTACCTGGGAAGAATAATGCAAGGGTGAGATGAAAACATCTCAGCAAGTAAATATTTTTTTAGCTATTTAAATCACAAGTTGTGTTAAGCAGCGATTTAGTAAAGGATTCCATCTCTGAATAAGCAACATATAAAACCAATGTAAAGAACACCTCCAAATAAAACCACAGAGAGGTGATACACCTTCAATATTATATTAGCAAGGTCATGTCACTTCAAATATGTTTCATAAATACATGAGTGCAATGCAAATGACTCCTGCCTGCATACCCAACAAGGTATGGAGCTGCATCCCAAGATGCTATACCGGTACGGTCGTGACCATAGGTCAACGATATAACTTCCAATGCATTCGAATGATGCAATGCATATGACATGCTACAATAATAGCAATATAACTTCACCTTCTCCAAAGCCATGTGATTTGACCACATGAACCGTGCTAGCATCAGTGCATCACAACCACACCATATATAAAGAAATAAGGCATCCAATTACGATTGAGAGAGGAACATCATAAAGGTTCAGTTCACAGTTGTTATGACATGGTTCCGAACATTGTGGTGTAGGTGATAAAGATAACAAGTCAAAACAGTAGCGAACCACTGCTACATTCACTTGCCTTTTTTACCGAAGACGGTCAAAAAGGACTAGGGGTGATCCGAGGCACTACCACTTGTTTTAAAACAAAGAACTCAGTACAAATACCCCGAATAACACTTGTAAACAATCAACAAAAACAGCCCTACGTCCGAACAAGCAATAGATGAAAAACAACCCCCACTTGACCCCGATAAACAGCAGCAGTGCTGCTCGTTCTTTTTTTGTAACTCTGAAACCGTAGCAGTTGTGATAACAAATAAATAGCTAACAAGCATCTACACTGAATAAGCTACAACCTTGGTATTCAGCAGAAATTAAAATTTCAACATCTACTATTTTTAATGCAGCCTACAAAGCAACAGACTACTCTGAGTTTCTAGAGCAGCAACTCTGTCTTCAGAAAACCATACCTCCCAAGCCATTGATCCTAAAACAGAGTTTAAATACTCAATGAAAAGTTCATACAAAGTACTACAAAATACTCCATAGCGCCCTGGACCAAAATGGCCTCGAAAACTTCTAAAACGAGGCTGAAAACTAGAGTTCGAAACTGACCCCGACCTGATAGAACTGCAGTAACCATCGGCAACATTCAGAAAGCCATAACTTTTGCTATGCTCAACAAAAAAATTAAGCTTAAATACTCATTGAAAAGGTCTTCAAATGCCCTACAACTTCCGTTCATATGAAATCCCCTAATTCGGCCAGTAAATACCTCAAAAACAGACCGATCTACAGCTGTACAGGGAGAGAAGGAAAACACTAAAACCCTAATTGCCTGTCCACCCACTGCATGACCAAAACGAAAACATCCCTTAAACCCTTCTCTAATCCCTTCTCCTCCTCGACTTTTAGGCATCCAGAACACATCTAAAACTTGCACTTTACAGAAACTCAAGTCTCACCTAGGGTTCCCTTGAAGATCCCGCAAGGAGAACGGTGGGAGAACTCCAATCCACACCTCTCTCTGCTCCTCCCCTGCTCCCTAACTTTTCTTCTTGATTTAGGCTCTAGAGCAAGAGATCCATGGGAAACTTTTGCAAGAAGGAAGAAGAAGGTGCAGCCAGGAGAGAAAAGGAGAAAGGGTGGCGGCCAAGAGAGGAGGAGAAAAAGGGGAGGCAGCACCAGCAGATGGGCCTAGGCCCATCTAGCACTCTCTTTTTTTTTTATTACTTCAGGGCATTACAAGTCTCTTCCCAGACCTGGCCTTCCCTGGCCGCCGCAGCAACACTCGTGTGATTGGGTCCTATCGCGGAAATCACTGAAACGCTCATCTATCCAAAGCAAACTCAACAGTTGTGTGATTGGATCCCTCATAGCCCATAGCCGCCATTGATCACAGGCCAACCAGTCACGTCTCCATCGGCAGCACTAGCAGCCGCCGGCCATGTAGGCTAATCCTGTCATGATTGGTGGTGCTAGCTACGGTTGATTCTCCGGCCGGTGATGACCCTGCAACCGACGTCTCGCAGACAGATTGGTTGATCTTACTTGGAGTTCATCAAGATGCCACATTATTGTCCAACTCTACTAGAAAGTTTCACTTCAGTGAATAGCCATGTTGGGTTAATGACCCAGGTGGCAATGAGGCTGTGGCCTGTGGCAGACTGGCAGGAGAGGTAATTGTGGCGGAGCACCGGGCCGGGCTGCCAATGAGGCCCTACCCCTCCACCGCGGACGTACAGACGGATGAATGCTGATCTAATAATTGACTAAAAAACAAGATCGAGTGACATGGAGACAATCACACTTCAACCTTCAAGTCATATCAACATCACAACATGACCCCTTGGTACCTCCACTTTTAACGATGACGAGCCTGATTGGTTGGGAGCTTAAAATTTGGTTGTCAAGCTTATGCAAGCCAAGATTTTTGCAGCCATTTGGTTTGGTATCAAAATTTGTCAATACCTCACAATTGCCATACCAAATCTATTGCAAACATTTTTGCTCAAGTTTTAGCAACTTTTTTTTGCCAAATCTTGAGAATGGCAAATTTCGGTAGCCAACCAATCAGGCCCCAAATATCAAAGAACAGAGTTGAAAACTGATTACGGGCCTGTTTGGTACTCGTTCTGTTCCAAATTATAAGTCGTTTTGACTCTTTTTTTCATCCATTTTACTATGTATCTAGACATATTATTATATCTTAGTAATTTAGAACGGAGAGATTAACGTTTTTGTCCCAGCTTCACAAAGCCGGTTTTCAGTTTTTCTACCAAATAGGTCCGATTGAAACAGCTTCTCTAGCTGTTCTTCCGCTTCTCTCACATGCACGATTTCCTAGGTAAAGTTGGGTGAAATGAAAATGCTAGCTTCTAGCAGCCTGTTCGGCAGCTCGTATTCGGCTTATAAGCCTTGTCTTATTAGCCAACGAACAGTATTTTTCTAAACACCAAACCAGTCAGCAGTACTTTCAGCCATGACTTATAAGCCAATCCAGCCGAAAGGAATAGGTTGTAGCTTTCTTTTGCTAGAAGCCGTTTCACCAAACTTTTTTAAAAAGAAAAATAGCTTTAGCTTGACCAAGCTGCTTTATAAAACCAAAGCCAAAAAAATCATTTTTCACTAGTGAAATTGAGCTGTACCGAACATTGGCCTATTTCTTCTACCTCCGAACCGGTTTACATACAGTTGAAGCTGACTATTTCTAGGAGTTGAAGGCTGTGTTCTAGAAAGTGCTTTTAGCAGAGCGTCAACAAAAGTGCTTGAAGGAGAAGCTGCTTTTCACTGCATAGTAAAATAGGTGAAAATAATAGGTGAAAACAAAGAGATTTTTCACAGCAATTTTCAAGAAAGATAGAGTCTTGGATCTTATTTTTGGCTCTGTTTTTCTAAATTGGTGAAAATAACAGACGAAAACAAAGAGATGTCAGAAACATAAGGGTTGATTTTATGGTTATTTCAACCAACAGCTTACATCTTCTCCACAACACATAACTCGGATCAACTTTCACCTTTTTCACACATAACTCGAATTAACTTTCACCTTTTTCACACATAAAAAACAAAGAGATGTCAGAAACATAAGGGTTGATTTTATGGTTATTTCAACCAACAGCTTACATCTTCTCCACAACACATAACTCGGATCAACTTTCACCTTTTTCACACATAACTCGAATTAACTTTCACCTTTTTCACACATAACTCGAATTTAACTCGGATCAACTTTCACCTTTTTCACACATAACTCGAATTAACTTTCACCTTTTTCACAGCTCACGGCAACTTTTCTAAACTCACAACTGAACGAAATAG